AGGCAATTTTTTTCAATGTCACGTATTTGCAATGAAAAGTGTTCAAAACCTAAAATCTTTTTGGCGTTCCTCTCAGAATCACTTTGTTTTAGCTTTATTCTCTAGTTTATACAGTTAGCTACCTTTTTAAATGCATCTGCCGGTTGAGAAACATAAAATAATAGTTAAAAATTGTCAATTAAAATACAATTATCAATGATGCTTTAAAATTGACGCCATATTTACAGCCATATATAAGCAAAATTTACTGAACTTCAGACATCATTTTCTCTTTGGCGTACTATCTAAAATCTCTTCGTTTTAGCATTATTTTACAGATAAAGCACTAAATATTCTTTTTAAGTTTGTTTGCCGATTGAGAAATGTATCGAAAAATAAAAATTTTGAATTTAGTCATCACCTCAAGTGACATATTATACGCATTAGTTTTGAGCGCGTGTTACGTAACATACAAAAAAATCTCCTCTTAATACTTACGAATGAGCATCTTCATCATACACATAAACAGAAAGGGTTTGAAGATGATGGGATGAAAGACTGAATGAATATTCTTCTCCCCAAAATGGTTCCAAACAGTTCCAGATTGTTGCAGTTCTAAATTAATATAAAAAAAAACATTGTCATATGTGCGACTGGTTCTAAATGAAAACAATTATTAACCCATGATTGCCAGTGCTTTCCCTTGACAAGTAAAATCGTCTGGTGTTAGACAGAGTAAAATGACAAAGCATTGCCGGGTTCAATGCAACTCAATGGGTTATAAATACGGATAACTCTCTATAATATGGGAACCTCTTTGATACGAGCAGATCGTTGTGTCCCTTCATTGTTATATGGTTTAATTACATAGTGTGAACTATTATTACCATTTGCATTCAAGCATAATACCCCACGACACAATGAAAAGTTGTTTCCAAGTTTTGCAAGAATGATATATATGGAAATTTTACACTTTAATACCATACCCAAGAACCGAGCAATCACTGGATACATATGCCATCAGAATACACATATTTGTGTTATATCCTACTTGCTGAGGCACAAAATGCAATTTTTTGGTTTAATATGAGTGAAATAGTAAATACTCGAAATAATTACAAGATGTCATGACCCTATTAAAAAATGTAAAATTAGTCGCACAACAGAACAAGGATAAAAAATATATTTCTAAGCATCGAATACTTCTGATGAACGCGAAGCTGTAATTTACTGTGAGAATTGAAAGACACATGTGTGAAAACATATAAATTAATATTCCAATTTACCTCAGTGTGATCAGTTGTCAAACGATAGGCAAAATATTAGTCATTGTTACTTTACTTTCAGTATGTGATTATCATTACTCAACACAGAAGATGACCTGACCTTTGTAAAATGCAAAGTCATCACTTGACATGTGAAATGTAAATTTGTCCAAGGGCAATGTTGGTTACAAAACTTAGGACCAATTTTTTATTGTGGTGCGTGGTAACATTTGAATGCAAACAGTAACATCGTAAGTCTGAAATTGTTCAAGTATCTCGCTACACTATATTTTTTAGTTTTACTGTATTTGGAGCACCTACTAACTCAGGCTGTAATGTAACCTATAACAAATCAACTTACGAGTAGCAACAGTAAACACAAAGCAACATTTTCGTAAGCACTACAGTGTTCAGGAGTGCAAATTGACTACTGAGGATTGATTTTAAGCAAACCGTGTCTCAAATATATCATGCTATTCTATCAAGTTGCTAACAATTTTAAAAGGTAGAGAAGTAGCGATTCGCTGTTTGAAAAGTAGTCAACTACTTGGCTACTTTTAGGCAAAATGTAGTTCGCTATAACTAACAGCTACAGTTTTAAAAAAGTATAGTCAAAAACTACTTGGCTACTTGAAAATTGTAGTTCGCTACAGTAGCGAACTACAACTACTTCGCTACTACCCACCTTGATTGCATGTGACAGTTTTAGGCAAAAGTTGTGTGTAATCTGCCTAGATATATCCACCCTACTTTATGTATTTTGTCTGATACTTGATGTCGGATGATTCTGTTATTCGATCATCAAGGGAAAATGTTGGGTGTTATAAAAAATAACTTTAATTAACAAATCGTACTTCATAATAATACAATGTACAAACAACAACCGCATTTAATAATAACATACTGAAAAACATAAGTTTTTAAATATTATATATAGACGCGATTGACAGCGAATATGTCACAATTAGTAATCAGCTGTAAATATTTACTAATCGGTTTTATTGTTGAAATATATCCGACTTTATTAACCCACACAAGCAGTCAAAACCATACTTCGTAAATTTTAAACAAGCTGTATGGCAAAACTGTTTAACTATGGCTTAAAAACTAGATTCGCTAAATATTTAAATCCCCCAAAAAAGATTATAGTAAATTTCACAGTATCCACGTGCCAAAATGTGTACATTTCATTACAAAATAAAACATATTTATCACTAAAATTAGCGCTGTTTTATCAACTATATTCACCTATATCAAATGGAAACTTTCCGTCAACATATCTTGAAAATTCCAAGTTAAAAATCCATAGTTTGAAACGGGTTATCCCCAAACGTCGTAGGAATCAAATTGCTTCAAGTCAGTTTATATAAATGCATCACACTGCGAACAGCAAGTCAGCAACGCTCGGGAAAAATCACTTAAAATCATCCTTAAATGTAATACGAAGCCAATATTTCGCGCGCCATATAATGCATTAAGTCCATTAAATACTCCCTGTCTAGCCAATCTCAAGTATTCAACAAATGAAGGAGAAAAATCGTCGAAAATAGATGTGTAATTCGGAGACAATATTTATATATGCTTCACATTTCATAAAATAAAGCGAGCCGCCAAGCCGGTGAAAGCTTCTCACGCGCGAACCACGCAATATCACTGCGTGGGCTTCCGGTGCCGTCGTTTACATCTAACGATGAACATTCGCATATTGAACCGAGTATTTGAAAGTCTCAGTGACTCAGTCCCAACATAACTTGGCTCGTTACAATCATTGTTTCACGTTAGAACTTAGATGCAAACACGTCCTTTTTTCGTCCTTTGAAAGACAAGAAGATCTTAAAATACATAATTTGCTCGCGTTACTCATATCACCAAACGTTGAAGACCATGTCAAGTCCGTTCCGCGCATCAGTTCTGCTCATATAAACAATGGGGGACCCACAGAATAAACATGGCTCAAATTGTGCATCTTTTCGAACTTTTTTTAATTGAAACGTACTCTAGTTTATATTCACTTACAATAGCGAACCAGAAAAGTGTTAGATATTCAGTTAGTATGTCTTATTTTACAAATAGAGCAGTTCAAAATGTATAAACAAAGGATTTGTTTACATTCATTACGGACTTGACATTACCCTGGATTCCAGAGCCTTCGACATAAATAATAAATTGAAACGTCGCGAACGAAGGCTTTGGTTCAACGGGGAGATTCTTTGATTAAAACACGGTTTAATCAAAGAATCTCCCCGTTGAACCAGAGCCTTCGCGACGTTTCAATTTATTATTTACTGTCGAAGGCTCTGGAATCCAGAGTAACTTGACATGGTCTTTAAGTTTAGTCCAAAAGGACGTGTGAATCGAAACATTTTCATCCGCTGTCAAGCAATTTTTCACTCGCTCATGGATATAAATACGAGTGTATCACGTATCTAGACGTGTACCAAGCTGCACTGACGAGGTGTGGAACGCCGAAACATGCATGTCTGCATAGTATTGTACTATACATATATTTATATATACATATACATATACATGAACGTCTGGTTAAAGCTCGACAACTGGCCTCTGTAGGTCAGTTGGTTAGAGCGCTGCACCGGGAATCGCAGGGCCGCAGCTTAGGTTCGCCTTCCCGAGTACCAACCGTTCCTGGTTAGGTCTTAAAATTGTGAAAATACATACTCACTTGGATTATCCAGCAAAACCCAGCATTCAAGTTCAACCAAGCCGTGAAGTGCAAAAAACATCAAAAAATAATCATCCGAGTTCCGAACGAAGTTTCGTGCTTAATACGAATCAAAATAGCATGAACGTGATGTTTTGGGCAAAAACAAACCACTTTAAAATCGATGCTGAATTTAGACTACGAAAAAAGAGAGCAATGCGTAGGCGCGAGATTTCTTCCCCCGCATGTTAATCTCTAATGTTCCAGTGACTGTGGCCGCACACGAGTTCAAGTTTGCGACTTTCACCGCGCAACATATGGACACGACTAGAAGGGACATCATCTCGCAAATAATTTCCCCTGGGTACATTCTTTTCATGTTTTAAATAAGACGCACTAAAGCTACCGTACCCCGCAGACGTCTTCACGTGTTTTGAAGTCTGCCGCGCAGACAACTAGTGGCCACGGTCAAACGTGGAACTTTTCATGTGCCGAACCTAATGCAAATGAAGTGAAACAACGAACTCAGCTGTTAATACATTAGGTTCGGCACATGAAAAGTTCGACGTTTGACACTGGCCTAAAGCTTGTTTTCCAAGTTGTTCAAGGGTTTTTGCAGATGGAAATTTCGAGACTGCAAATTACAGATCGGTGGTGAAAATTTTCATACATTTTATACATTTATAAATAGACCTAACCAAGCAGCTGCGAAAAATACAACTATAAGCCCCTGGCATGAATTGAACCTGCGGCCCTGTTACCAACTGAGCTACAGAGTCCAGTTGTCGAGCTCTGACCGCGAGTTTATGTACAATATATTACGGTGATGCCAATGTAAGGCCGGGGAAATATCAAGATGTTGGGTATGTATTCGATAGAACTAAATATGTCTAAAGTCGTGTTTACACTATACCAGCCTTGACCTGGCCTTGGCCTACATTTTGACAGTGTAAACAGACTTTGGCCCAGCCTTAGCCTGACCTAGGCCAGGAAATCTTTGCCCACTACAACCGGTGGCCTAGGCCTGGTCTAGGCCTGGCCTAGGCTTGTGGAAATGTAAACACTTTCGGCCCTGGCCTGGGCCTTATTTTCATGGTGATCGCTAGATAGTATACTTCAAAATACGTTTTCCGTTTTTATAACGTAGAAAAAACTATCCTAACGCAAAACTAAACCCTAACGGTTATAACCGCCTACTACTAAACCTAACCCTAACCCCAACCTAACCCTAACCTAACCTAAACCCTAACCTAACGCTAACTTATTTTAAAAATAGAATAAATACGGAAATCTTATTTTTGAAGTATACTATCTAGCAATTGCCTTATTTTCATGGCAATGTGAGTCCACAGTGAGAGATTAGCGGACAACCAGCGGACAAAGTCACAACACATAAAAACACACAAAATTAATTACAAAATTCTAGGCCAAAGTGAGCCAGTCTCAAAAAAATAGTGTAATGATGTAAACGCGCCACATTTACCTTGGCCTGGCCGGCTAGGCCAAGGCTAGGCCAAGGCTAGGCCAAGGCTAGGCCAAGGCTAGGCCAAGGCTAGGCCAAGGCTAGGCCAAGGCTAGGCCAAGGCTAGGCCAAGGCTAGGCCAAGGCTAGGCCAAGGCTAGGCCAAGGCTTGTAGTGTAAACACGACT